ATCTGCAGAATATGCTGCCAAAGTTTCCCAAATACAGTTCGGACTACCCTGTAGATTGAACTTTAAAATACAGGATAATTTTAAAGGTGTTTATGAATATAAACTGCCCGTCAAATTAAATACCACAGCAATTTTTTTACTCATTTTCAACGAGTTGTAATTTTGAAAAAAATGGACCAATTTTGTTGATTTTTTTAGCATATTAAAGATCGTTTTTCGTAGATTGATCTGATTTTTTTAAATTTTGCATGAGATTTAGTTTTCTATGATATACAGGGTGTGAAAAAAAGGAATGTAATTTTTGTAATTTTTGTGTTGCTGCCATTTTGCTAAAAAGCAAAATTTAACTAGAATTATAAGTTCTGGGTATAGCTAAGACTACTATCTCGGGACGTATTTGGAATTTTTACTCTGACTTGTATTTTTTACTCTGACTTGATATTCGTTACTTTTACAATGTGAAATTAAAAAAAAGTGATTTAACTAACGCAGTTTAATACAGGATCTCTTAAAAATACGACCAGCGAGAAAGTAAAATTATTTTTTTTTAATATTCTGAACAGCCCATAAGGTTAATATAAAAGCTCGACACGTATTTGATATTTTTGTAAAAACTCTTTTTGTGTCTAAAAATCTGTAGTTTAGCTGCAACTTAGTAGTTTCTTTTTTAATTTCACATTGTACAAGTAACGAATATCCTACAATTTTAAAGTTAATTTCAGTTTTGTTAGTATATCTCTTAAGAAAGGTAGAAAAAATACAAGTTAGTGTAAAAATTGATTATTCTTTATTCCAGATCAGTTATCGTAAACATTCCAAATACGTCCCGATATATTAGTCTTAGCTATACCCAGAACTTATAATTCTGGTTAAATTTTGTTTTTTGGCAAAATGGCAGCAACACAAAAATTACATTCCTTTTTTTCACACCCCGTATATCATAGAAAACTAAAGCTCATACAAAATTTAGAAAAATCAGATCAATCTACGAAAAACGATCTTTAATATGCTAAAAAATCAACAAAATTGGTCCATTATTTTCAAAGTTACAACTCGTTGAAAATGAGTAAAAAAATTGCTGTGGTATTTAATTTGCCGGGCAGTTTATTAAATCAATTTTTTTAATTATGATGATTTATCTGATGACTATAATTCTCTGCAATAAAACTGTGCAATAATATCTTGTTCAAGGAACATTTTAAATATACAAGTACCTCATTATACAGAACTTACAGAAAAATAAATATAGCATATAATTATTAAGCTTTTCTTTTGCTCTTCATTTCCAAATATCACATATTCTTTAAACGAAAAAAAGACCAATAAATTTTTGACTAGAATGCTTCTAAATCTTAAATGTTTACTAGCCTTTTCCTTATAGTAAGGTGTCATTGGAAATGTTGTTCCTCATTTACAAAAAAGAAAAAAAAACAACAAAAAATCGCTACGATATCATATCTTCTTTTTCTTTTTTCTTTTGAAGCACTTCGATAGTCATCTCATCTCAGAATCGATAGTGCACTACTATTAAATTGGGATTTAATGCATTATTGTATTATTGGTTCCACACGTTTATTAGGTACCTATTATACTGCTTCTGTATTAATACCTTGTTTGAAAAATTACTGTAGTAGTAACCAGCAAAAGTATATTATACATTTTTATATATAGCTGATATTCCCCAAGTTACTGTATTTATTATTGTTTTTTGTTTATTTTTTTATATCTAAATTACTTGTTTTGTTTATTTTTATTTTCGTTTTGGATTCGTAGAAGTAAAATTTCAGATGAGTAGAATATGAAATTATATTATTATTATTATTCGATGCAGTAGCTTTTAGTGTAGCTTATTTTGCTTATTGACTTTTGTAAAACAAAGTAAAGGTTTTTTATGATTACTTGGAGTAGGTGTAACAAGGTTCGCAGATTTCGACCTTACTATAAGGGAAAGATATTTTTTGTTTTTGTTTAAATATTGCACGAACAGACCAGTTTTTTTTGATTTTTTAATTGTTTTTGTGTTGCACGCAGCATGCAATTTTTTTCTTAGTAACCTTTAACTGTGTGTGTATAATTTTTGCCTACGTGGCACGATCTAAATGGTAAGATTTTAAGATATTTGTCATTTTCCATCATGACGATGCACGTTATAAGATGTTCTCTGATTAAAAAAAAACTCTTTTTTTAAACGAAAAAAGTTGTATAAATAATAAACATTGAATAATGGCTGTGAATAAAATGGCCTAGAATAAAAAACTTGTCAATTTTATTTAAGTGCAAACCTGAAGTACGTACTAGGATATATTTCAGGAAAATATTTTAACTTCTATAGAGTGGCTCAAAAATGTATGAGTGGATCGGCATGATTTTTTTTAAACGTTATACCCTGTATATTATTGCATTTTCGGCTTCCTATCAGATCACTTTACATAATCCTAAGATATGAGTAAATATATTTCGCCAGTTTCAAAGATTAATTAATAAAAAAATATATTTTTTCGGCATTTCTTAAAGAAATTATTAAAAATACAAGAACTGTCCTAAAATCAAAACTATATTAGGTATTTACTTTAGATGGTCTGTACTTGTTTTGCTATAAATATGATAATCGTAAATCATACAGAATGTTCAAAATTCTACGCCAAACTTTCTAAAATATAAAATAATTTTTCTTCGTTTTTTTTAACGGAAGACCATGTATATTGTTTTATAAATAGATCAAGAATTAAAAATAAACATTTTGGTATTTAGGAGTATTTCAACATTTTTAACAGTTTCGCAAATATTTGCGGTTTTATATTTCACAGGCATTTTCCACAGTAAATTTTTATCAAAGCTACCCAATGATTTTTCTCTCGTATTTTACCCTTGAAAGAGCCATATGAAATAATACTGCATGTATCTGCGAAACCATTAAAAATTTTAACGTTTTGAATACAAAAATGTTCATTTTCTAACTCTCCATATAATAAAAAAAATAATATACACTGTAATAAACACCGTTTAAAAAAAACAAGAAAAATTATTTTATATTTTAGAAAATTTGGCGTAGAATTTAGAAGAACACCCTGTATGATATAATATTACGATATTTATAGCAAAGTAAGTATAGACCACCTAAACTAAATACCTAATACAGTTCTTGTATTCAGGACAGTTCTTGTATTTTTAATCATTTCTTTAAGAAAGGCCGAGAAATAATATATTTTTTATTTATTTATTAATATCTCTGAAATTAACGAAATATATTTAATCATATCTTAGGATTATGTAAAGTGATCTGAAAGAAAGCCAAAAATCCAATAATATACAGAGTGTTCCATTTAAAAAAAATACCCCGATTCACTCACACTTTTTTGAGCCAGCCTATAAAAGTTACAATATTTTCCTGATAAATTATGATGAAATAAAAACAGAGAACAACTTTACAAAACCTCAACGAATGCTTTTTGTTAGACGTCATACTAACCTGCATACACTAATAATTGTTAATCATAGCCATAGAAATTATGAAAAAAAAAGTTTTTTTATTTATTGTTGAAATTGTTTTAGTTATTGGAGCTATTGGAATTACCTCATGAGTAGTGATGTTTGTTTGCAATTAATATTTTTTTAAAAGGTAACCCTTTTTTGTTTTATTTTATTTTTGAAGTTTCAAAAGAACATAAAAATATAAATGTTGTTTTATAAATAAGTGTTTTATAAATAAAATAATGATTTTTCTAGTTGTTTTGAAACTTTATCAGCTTTATTAACTCTGCTCTGATATTATTTTACCCTTATCGTTGTAGGCCCTTCCCATTAAGTTGAAATGTGTTCCTCAAAAGGCAAAAGTAAATAGGTACCTAAAATAATACATTTTTGTCCTGAAAATTTATTTTGTTGTGGAACACATTCAGAAACGTTGTGTTTCTGTAGGTAGACGTCATCGTTGTTGCCTGTTCGAAACAGTATATTCATGATATTCGTTTTAATTTTAAATTTAGTTGTAATAATTTCAATTGTTTAAATCAGCAACTCTGATATTATATTTAATATTTTCTAATAAATAAAATCTCCTATACGTCTTTTAATAAATATAAAAATTAATAAAGTTAAACTCAGTTATTAAAATTTTTTGTGTGAACTTAAAGAACAAGTTAATATATATGAATTTTTAAAACTAAATTAAACTTATTCCTTATTGTCACACATACAATAATTATAATACAAAGAAAGAATTAATGATTTGACCACAAAATGTGAATGGATCAGGTTGATGATTTATCTCATTAATTATAATAATAGAAGATATTTTTATTTAATCTACTATATCAGTTATTTTGTATATCCACTTGAATATAACGTAATTGGATTGTTATTGGAGGCTACTAATGAATATATACTTGCAAAATCACAAATGTGTACAAATTTTTAGTTTAAATATTTTGCAGTATTATATCGTGAAAAGTTTACAGTAGAGCAGAAAAACGATTTTTTAATGTGATATAAAAAATTAAGTTTTACGCCATTTATTTTGTCTGCTACAGTATAAGTGCCTTTGCTGTTACAGTTACGACTCTGTGGAGACTATTAGATCACACTAAAAGATTTTTTTTCGCGTTACTCTAAAATTTTCAAAATATTAGTTACGGCACCTTGTGTGGAAGGCAACGATATAAACTATCCCTACTCTCATAATCTGAAAAATTAGTCAAGCTAGGGGAAGTGCAAAAAAATGATAGCAACAAGAGTCTAATTAGTATATGATTAAAGATATTAAAAATACATTTTTAATAAAAATAGCTAATATAAGATGTAAAAAGTAGAGTGAAGAAAGTTATCTAGTATATCTACATATAAATACAACATTCAACTAAAATTTCAAGGATCAATTTACAACATTTATATAAAATAATTTGTCATTTTCTATATGTAGTAGATTAGATAAAAATATATTCTGGATTTATCAGTAGCAATTTTCTTCGATAAAATTAATGAATGATATAAATTCCTTGTAGCCCCCTACCGCTCCACGCTTGGGGTCGCTCGTCCTCGGGGGAGAATGCTCCAGTGCCTCCTCCGACAGTTCCCAGCGTCCGGAGAACGCGCTCGACGCTCTGCTAGACGAGCTGCAGACCTTCTCCAAGCCGCACCCCGGCACCCGCTCCTCCTCCGAAAGCTCCGAGCCTCCCGCCATCCCCGCCAAGGGCGTCGCCCCTACCTCCAGGCCGCCACAGATGGCCGAGATCGGCCGCAAGGGCAGCATGGACTCGGCCTCGTTCCTGCCCAGCAACAACCTCACCGTCAGCACCACCACAGGGAGTCTCCGGCGACTGCATTCGTATCCTAGCGGCTCGGACACGGATAACAGTCCCCCAATTCAACCGCTCCAACCGACCAAAACCGCCAGCAAACCCCCGATACCTGAACGCAACACGGAACTCCTCCAGCACGTGGTTTCGGGGAAGAGGATTCCTCCCCCTCCTCCTCCAAGGACCAGCTCGAAATCTCCCCTAGCCTCTCCTACGTCTCCGAGTTTACCTCCTAGATCCGTCGCGTCTGCGGGACTCCAACATATCCAGAACGTGCAGAATATGGAGAAGCCCATGTCCCAGTTCGAGCAAGCCACTCAGAACCTAGGCCTACAAACGCTCAGGCGCAACGTGCCCAACCGATCTAGTATCAAGGACTCGAACAAATCTCAAACCCTTCCTAGGAATATAGGCTCGAATCTTCAAATACCCAACAGCGACAGCGATGTAATATCGGCAAGCAACTCGAGCAGTTGCGAGAGCGTCAACTCGCAAGACGGCACGAAGAAAACGAGGAAAGAAGAACTGGAACAGAGGCATCAGGAACTGTTGAAGAAACAGAAAGCTCTCCAGGAACAGTACGCCAGACTGCAACAACTCCAGCGAGGTAACAACACCCTAACTGTCATACCTCCAGCTCCCGATCAACTACTAAAGAAAACAGGAAGCGAATCAAACCTTCTACAGAAAATGGGCTTACAACTGGCCACCTCTCAGATCACCGGTTCCCTGACAAACATACCCAACACCAACGCCTCGCTTGTTAATAAAGTTACCCTAACCAACGCTACGTCCGACATGGACAGGGAAAATCCTAGTTTCGACGATAAGAGCAACAACGCTACCGAAAACAAAGATGTTTTGAACCAGGAAGGTCAGAAGAAAGTATACGAAACTGACATTCTGTGACCTATCATCGCTGAGAGGATGCAAGTTGTATATTGATCTTGGTAGTTCGAGTAGTTCAATAGAGATGTCGCATTATCGGTTTGCTTGGTTTAGTTTTTAAAGGCCGACTGATTTTATATCATTTACTGAATAAAAAGACCACGATAATTATAAGACGCCATTTGTTTTTAAATCTAGACCATATACTATACAGACACGCCATTTCGTCATTATATCGTAATGCTTTTCCTTATGATACGCTATACAAAATAAACAAAACGAATACAAAATAGTCACAAAAAACGCCGTCACAAAAATATATCTTTCGTCTTCAGTGTATAAATATTAAAAAAACTATTTGACTCTCTTCTTAGGTTCATTCAATGATAATCGACGAGACTAAGTGCATGTTAAATATTATAAAATATACCACAATCAAACTTGCAAAATAGAGAAGTAAGGTACAAATTATAAAAATGGAAAACAGCTTTGCAAATCTCAAAGAATTGTTAGATATCAAAATTAACCGGTTAAAACAAATAGTGAATCCTAGCCCTAGAAATTATGAAAAATTATTTATTGTTGCAGAATTACTAATGAATATACTTCAAAAATCACAAATCTCAACAAAGTCTTAGTTTAAAAACATTAACAGTACTATATAAACTATCTATATATAACTATACTAAGGCTGGCATTTCTGGTCTTGGGTGCTGATTTTCGTGTGTACGAAGAGTACGGCCAACACGCTTAGCAAAATAAGATGTACTGAATAAAGACAGAAGGCAAGTATTTCCCATCAGCATGGAATCTAGGTTATGTAATAAATACTTCGTATTTTTGCTCTCTCCGACTTTCTAGATTCCCATAGCAATTCACTCCTATACATGTAAACGCCGACCCAAGGTTTCGCTTGCCAGCACGGTATGACAATTGCACAAGAGCTCTGTCTGATTAGTATATGGTAAAAGAGTTTAAAAATATTTTTTTTTAAATAAAAATAGCTAATATTAGGTGTAAAGAGAAATAATTCTGAATGGTTAATATGTCAAAAACGCTTGAATTTGTTAATACGTCAAATCTTATTAAATTTTCAAATATTAATAGATCAGGTTGTTTAGAACAGGATGTCTATATCTTTTTTCCATACTAATATCCATAGATAATTTAAAAATTTCTTATTATGTTTAGAAGGCATTGAAGATACTGTTCATTATCTTTTTTTCTGCCTGTAACGCAAGAATATTACCTACCAAAATATAAGCCAGTTATTTCAGGACACCGTATATGCTACACACTGAAAAGTGATGGAAATATTTTTGGTTTACTCCCAGATTAGATTTAAAAAATATTTAGTCTTTTAGTGCGAATACTAATATTTCTTTCTGTGTGTATAATACATCTAGCACTCAGTTGACTGAGATGTATTACATAATATTTTTACTTTTTGTTTGTTATAATTATTAAAAAAATAAATAATTCTTATGGGCAATCTTTATTGGACTACCAGGCAAAGCTCATATCATATT